CCTCCCTCTTCCCCATGATGAATCCATGTGGTGTATGTGGGTGACATTCTGTGTATAAGTAAGTCATCCTTCACCTCCTGCCAAGTTTTAACCACCTGGTTAAGACAATGTGTACACGGGCAAGGGATCTTTTGCTCTAGGTATTTTTGTTTAACCATATCTATGAACTCTTCAACTCCTGCGATGAACGTCGGTGAGAATAGTCTCCCATTAGGAATCTAGGATCTATCCATCTGTTGCAGCAAAAGTATGCAAAGTCCGTTAGAGTTTCGACCATTGGGTGGACAATGGCAAAATTAGCATTAGAACAAAGCATACAATGTTCGAGAGCACTAATCTGTGTATTTGTTCAAATCATACTATGGGACAGTCTGGTTTTCTATTTTTGTGTGACAAAAGCATTGATTTCAATTGAAATTCATATAGAATAGCCTTTCTTTATGTGTTCTTTACTTTATCGTGTACAGAAAATGGAGTTCTATAATCATAGAAGAAGGTACTCATACCTTTATTCTACGAATTGGCATAGCTCGGCTGCAAGCCACCTCTGCCGCGGCACACACCTAATCATGTGGACGCCAATGCCGCCACGCTCCACCGAGAGAGCCCCGCCATGCCACCAAAAGGACGCCTGAGCCACCACAGCAGACCAGGGATCCTCCGCCTCCGCCACCGTCGTCGCCACCACAAGTTCAGCGGGCATAGATTTGTTTCCACTTGCAGGGGATATATCCAATTTAGGTCAACCTGTAGGGCATCCACACAGCCAATAGTATACTATAACGACTCTAAAGAGATGTCAGCATAGCCAGGCATCTAGCGCAATGGTAAAGACGCTCCAATCCTTGGTCTAGATCTCGTGTTCGACTCCCAGGTATTAGACCTTTTTTTAAGAAATTAAACCCTGACGGCCAACATGGTACAAGTGACACGCAAACCGTCGGGTCCCATAGGTCGTATGAAGATGGAGAAAGGTCCCATAGGTACACATGACACGTAAGCCATCGGGTCCCACAGGTCCAATGCAGAAGGACCGAGCGAAGACTTTGATGACAAATTGCAAGCGTCAAGTGACACGCAAGCCGTCAGATCCCACAGGTCGGATGGAGATGGGTCGTCGGGTCCCACGGGTCGGATGGAGATGGAGAACGGTCCCATAGGTAACCGTCAGGTCCCACCGGTCGGATGGAGATGGAGAAAGATCCCATAGGTACACGTGACACATAAGCCATCAAGTCCCACAAGTCGGATGCAGAAGGACCGAACGGAGACTTTTATGATGAATTGCAAGCGTCAAGTGATACGCAAGCCGTTGGGTCCCATAGGTCGGATGGAGATGGGCCGTTGAGTCCCACAAGTAAGATGGAGATGGAGAACGGTCCTATAGGTACACATGCCACGTAAGCCATCAAGTCCCATAGGTCGGATGCTGAAGGGTCCCGTCAGGTACACATCGGATGGAGAAAGGACCAAGCAGAGACTTTTATGATGAATTGCAAGCGTCACAGATGAGTAACTGCAGGTCCCACAGATACATGTCGGATGGAGAAGGGTCCCATAGGTACACGTCGCATGGAGAATGGATCGAGCGGAGACTTTTATGACGAATTGCAAGCGTCATGGATGAGTAACTGCAGGTCCCACAGGTACACGTCGGATGGAGAAAGTATCGTGTGGAGATCTATGACGAAGCGTCATTCCTTATAGATAGAATATTATTCGTCACATATGTGTAATTAGTTCAATGACGAAGCCCTGTTCATCACACTTTTAAAGGAGATCATCACAGATGAGTTGCGCGAGTGATCTATGACGAAACCCTGTGCTCTTCTATGATGTTTTTTGCGACGATGCCTGATGTCGTCATAGAAAGGGAGGTTTACAGGATCGTCACCACTAATCTATGACAAAACAAAATATTCGTCATAAAAAGCCCTCTTCTATGACAATTTTAGATTCGTCATTAAGATTTTTGTCATAGAAGTGGATATTTCTAGTAGTGTAGCTTGTGTCCTATTTATTTAGACAACGGAAACATATGCACTCTTGTTTTGCTTAGAAACGATGGAGAAGAAATAAAAGGAAGAGGAGTCATGTAGCCTGGTTTTGGACTGCAGGACAACACTGACTTATGAATGGTCACCACGTCTTCATACGAATTTTGATTTGGTTGTTCTAATAAGACTTCATAGAAAGCTTGTCAAGTCTACTTTAAAAAGGATCAGGCCTCATGCTTGTATATTATTAGACTCAGAGGCAATTCTCATCTTAATGTCGAATATATTTTTGCACATGGCGTTGCGTCACCATATTTTGGCCCAATGAGACATGTATCAAGTTGGGTCTATTAAAGACACATACGTCCTAGCGTCGGAGCATGACCCCAACACCCAATGGTCATCCTCCCATCTACTTATAGGATCTAGAGACACCAAGAATAGATCAGGTTTTGTTGATTTCGATTTATCCATGGCTACTTCACCTTAAAATGCGAGTGTCTGTAAGACTGCCCACCTACTTGTCTTTCCCACCATATTGTGCCTATAGATTGAAACATACATATTAATCGAGAAATTCAGTGCTTCTTCTATTTATTCTTGCTTGTTCTTTGATTGCATGCAGGACGAGAGCCCTTGTGGCTGGGTTGATCGCGCTCCACAAGATCTCAACCAACCATTTGAGGTGGTGTATAAGTCGCTAAAGTGCAACACCCTTGGATTGTTGTAGTTGGGCTGATCGAGTATCCATGAATGATCGGGACCAATCCTTCTTTTAAATAGTTTTTAATATATTAATAACAATAGAATTGGGTAATCTAGAAACATATATAGGCATAACCTAGAATATTTAAATATTTTCAATAATAGCATATGTTAGATAATTAAATGGAGATTTGGGGCATCTTTTAGTTTATTTTTAGCAATGATAGAAATGGTATTTTTGCTGCAAATTTAAGGGTTACTTAAATTATCTATCATAATGTCAGAGTGGATAGTTTTTATATAAATTTAGGAGGCTACTTTATATTATGTTTTATAATGTCATAGGTGAGTAATTTAGACGTAGAGTTAGGGAGTTACTTTATGTTGTTTTTTCATAGTGGTAGATGTTAGAAGTTTTTTAGAAAACAAAATAGATCCAATTGTGATATCGATAACTAGATCTTTGTGATTTATATGACAATTTTGTATAATTTATCTTTTTTTTAGTGCATCTCGCATATATAGTCTGTTAGAAGCCTTAATTAGTAATACTAAGATCCTATTAAAACAGATAAAATTAGTGGACTTAATTATACTAATATAGTATAACAGTATAACATACTCACCTCCTGTTGACCATATTTCTTGTTTGGGAAACATCTATATTCCCGTAGCAGCAGCAGCTGAGACCGTGGAACATGACCATATTTCTCGTTTCAGGAACATCAATATTCCTGCCAAAAATCTTCAAAAATTATCATATCAGTGTCGTTCCACGTTTTCTGTCCCTATATCCTCTAGGAACATGGCTGATAAGGCTCAACACAGTCATACACTCCTACTTAACAGCCAAGTACTTCGACCTGCCCATGTAATTCTGGCTGGATGGGATAGGTGGACACGCCACACTATAGGCGCATTGAGTGCGGAGCAGTAGAACGGGTGGGATCACGAGACTATGATGCTACCACATACACCAGGGCCTCGTTTAGTTGCCCGACAGTGGCCAAATCATTGTGCGGCACTGTAGCACATGTAGTATTTTATTTATGTTTGGTAATAATTATTTAATTGTTGACTAATTAGGTTCAAAACGTTCGTCTCGCAAAGTACAACCAAACTGTGCAATTAGTTTTTGATTTCGTCAACATTTAGTACTCCATGTATGCACCGTAAGTTTAATGTGACGAGAAATCTTTTTTTTTTTTTTGCATAACGCCAAAGTTTAAATTTTGGGGTAACTAAACACACCCCACATGGGCATGGCATGGCATGGCTGCAGACTCAAGTCACTGCATCCTTGCCTGTTTCACCGTTCAGGCAAAAACATGGCCACAGTGTTGAGCTGCAGCTGCTGGATGTTCACAGCAATGCTACTGCATGCTTTTCGACTGGGGTTCAGAGGGAAGCCGTTTACAGCACCCACGCCACACATGGCTGCTGACTGAATCTGATTGACCATCACTTGTTTGAGCAGATGCTAACATGAAGCTAACGAACAAAGGTGAAGGGATCGACCGGTGCTATGTGCTCTGCGTTTGTAGCCATGATGGTGCTCAGGAGCTGGATGGATGGGTGGATTGATGGACCCATGCACATGAGAAGCGCTTCTCTTCTGCCTTTGAACCCTGACCGCACAGAGCACCAGTGGGCAGTGGCCCTCCTATATTCATGTTACTTCATCAGACAAAAAAACAGGAAATTTCTTTTTTTTTCTAAAAAAAAACAGATAACATGAGACTTCAAAATTGCAGCTAGCCTTTGAAACAACGGGGATCAATTTTCACAGTTCCACAACAAACAGAGTCAGACATGAGAAGTGTCATTGCCAACTGGGGAATGAATGCTGACAAGTGGCCTCTGTTGAAAAAATGCCTATGAACTAGGCAGACGGAAACAAAACAAGAAAATGAACCTGCTTTATGTTCCTCCAACAGCATATAGTTAGAAAAGAATACCAAGAATATGGATTTTTACGACGGCACTGGCAATGTTAACTGAGAAAGTTACGTCTATTCCGGACAACAGACTACAGACTCGCAGCAAACTATTTCAAAACTAGCATATATAATACATCTTTGTACAAAAATAAAAGCCAAAGGTGAAAGGTACAACACAAAATCCTACTAACCAGTAGCTTACACAATATGATGTCCACAAACCAGCCCAGAGTTTACTTTGTACCAGATAGAAGTTCAACCTTAGAAAAGAAAAGTTCTAGACTTCCTTAGCCTCCAAAATCAGGGGATAACTCAATCCCCTCTTATTTTTGCGCTTAAGATCACTTGGTTCTGGCTCTCACATCAGAGAACAGGCATTTGGGTTCTCGTCGCTGAAGAGCTGAGGCGGGTACTGGTAGGCATAACCGTATCCGCTCGGATGATTGAACCTTGGGTAGTGCATATACATGTTAGCAATGGCGCCAGGGTCTTTATCTTTTTCTTCATCACCAGCATTGCCATCATCCTTCTTCTTATCCGCTTCTTTCTCGTCTCCACCTACATCTCCACCATCTTTCTTTTCCTCCTTGCCATCATCCTTCTTATCCTCCCCACCTTCGGCTGCCTTCTTGTCGTCCTTGGCATTTCCATCATCAACATTCTCAGCTGCAACAGGCTCAGACTTGACGATAGCAGCGTGCTTGCCAGTGCGCCTATACACATAATCAGCCAGCTTGGCCTCCTCGAACACACCCTTCACAGTGACTTGAGAAGCCTTCAGGTCTGCCTCTACAGACTGCACTCCTGCAAAGCCACATTACAAACTAATTGATGAATACTTGAGAAGCAGATGTATGCCTCGCCTTGACATTCCCTAAACTGAAATAATAGTTAATTGACAATATACAGCATAATTTGCACTGTTCGTATTTAAAGACATTTTTTTTGTCAAAAAAGTTAAGCTAGTGAACTTAACGTAAATCTATTTGTAGTTTTTGTGACATGTTAACTACATGTTCAGTGTACCTCTCAGAGTCTCAGTCGAATACAAGGAGAGAAGATCGAGTATATCTCGTATCAAGTACAAATTGCAACAGCGTACAGTTATCAAGTTTCACAGACAGACTATGAATCTTGACTGGTGTAATCATTGAAGTTTGATGTATCTTGCTAAAATATAAAATATCATCCATCACAAGACGACTTTAGTGAACTAATGGAAAGCTACGTTATGATGGATCATACAAGGGAGATGTGGCAACAAATTTGTACCTTTCATCTTGAGGATTCTCTTCTTGATCACTTGCGCACAGGCCTCACAATGCATATACACCTTGAGCACCACAGCGAGCACCGTGGGCTTTAGTACAAAACATAAAAGCCTCAGTCCCAAATCGTAGAAACAGTAGCAGTACACAATGCACGTAAAATTGATGTGACACATAATTGGAAGTAAAAATGGCAATGCAGTGCGTTCAAGAATCTAGGTAAGGATAATTCACCTCCTCTTTCTTCTCGGGTTTTGGTGGCTCAGGTTCTTCCTTTTTCTCCTCTTCCTTCTTCTCTTCTTTGGGCGGTGGCATTGGCGAGAGAAGCTCTACCTTGCGGCCTGTCTTCTTCTGCACGCGTTCCACTACCTTCATTGGGTCAGCAGCTGCCTTTTTCCCCTTAACGACCACCTTGTGTGCCTTTGTATCTGTAATAACATCTTCAACACCTGCACATCACAAGACCAGTATTCAGACTCTGGAACTCAATTCAAAGACTCGCACATTTGCAGGAAAAGAAATAGAAAGTTTGGAACAATTGCAGAAAGAGACAGCATACAAATTTCAGAAAAACTCGTGGAACTTCAGTTTCCGAGCTGAGAATACAATAATTAGTTAAACTTATGGCAAACCCAGAATCTTTACCATAATCCGTCATCATCATCTGATGACAGACAGAGGGGTTACATCTTTGTTAAGGCAACCTGAACTTCTTTTGAACATATGCTGCGCAGAGAGGCATATACTAAACTGCAGTGGTTTGCATTATGAGATATCTGATTGGGCGTTAAGGCTGCTGGGATCTTGTTTCACCACTAGCACAGAATACACGTGCGACTGAGTTGTCTCCTCCAAGCAAGCATTTGCCCACCTAACGTTTTCAAATGTAACTAAAACACCCACATGGTTTCGCTTAAAAATTGCTCTCCAAAGTTTGACTGAACTCCAAAGGCAATATCATAGAAATCATGGGAAGAGAAGTGGCGCCCCGCTTTGCCAAGTATGTACTATGATAATGCACAAGTACAAAGAGAACGAGCAGTAGATTAAAAAAAAGGAGAAAATTTTGAAATTCGCACCTTACGAAAGAGGCGCCTTAAACATTCCCTTAAAGCGATGCAGTACACAAATACGTACTTGGTTACATTTCAAATGACCAGAAAAACCACAAAAGTTTGCCCTTTTTTCAAAAGTACCGGTGGAAATCACTCCATAGTTCAGAAAACGGAACCAGATTTCAAATAAAACCTGGGGAAACAAACCAAACAAACAAAATGTGCAGATTTCAACATGATTTTTGTAACCATGGAAGAAGAGCTAATAGTATGCCAACTATCAAGAACACTTCCTGTTCAAAAAACAAAACAGTATACCAGGAACACAACAGCACAAAGCACAGCAGAAAAGAGAAGAGGTAAATCTATTACCATCAAATCCCTTGAGAATCTTCTTGACCTTGCGCGCACAGCCCTCGCAGTGCATGAAGACCCGCATGACCATCTCCTCCGGCGGCGGCGGCGGAAGAGGCGGGGCCTCCTCCTTCTTCTCCTCCCCTCCTCCCCCCGCGTCCTTCTTCTCCTCCACCTCCTTGGCCTTGTCCGCCGGGGCCGCCTCCTCCTTCGCCTTCTCCTCCTGCACCAACGCACACACAAAACGAAGCACATCAAGATCTTCCCGCACCTCTCCCAGAGTCAGAGCATCGGTGCCAAGAAGCCGCAGTCATTACCTCGCCCATGGTTCGCCCTCCTCTGCTCCGCTCTCAACGCACTAGAGTTTAGTTTTAGTCAGACACGCCTCTGGCGAGTGAGTGAGTGAGTGGTTCTTGCGCCCGTTGGGAGTGGGCTGTAGGTAACTTTTGGCTGGCTGTAACTCCACTGCCGCTACTTGTAACGCGCGCCGCAAGGGCCAGCGGCCAGCGGCTAGCGGGGACGACGGTGCGGCGGGTCAGTGGGTCAGGCCGGCCGGCCCGCACGGAAAATGCGTTGGAACTAATCACCCCTAAACTTTAATCACCCCTGTCTCCGGCTCATCTCATCTGGTGGTACCAGTACTAGAATTTTTTTTAATGTGGATTTGGCCCTCTCTCTCTCTCTCGTTTCCTGGCAAACTGGAGTAGAGCTGGACATAGGTGAGAGTGTGAGTGTGAAAGCTAGGACAGTATATTTGTATCTGGGACTTTGGATCCAGGTCATGGTTACTAAATACAACAAAATATGTCTTGTATCCTTTTTTTAGTTAGAGAAACAGTGTACTAAAGCACTAGGAATTTATCTTAGAACGTTGCACAAAAGTCACAGCTGGTGATTTTTAATGTACCAACTAAATGTTCATTTAACATGCCTCAAAATATGCATGGTTCACCTTGGAGACCATGTGGAAGTGTGAGTTTCCACTGATTAAACTGTGTCATGCAAAAGTCGCAAAAGGCTTATCTTGTGTTGTTATGAAACATTCCTTTGTTCTATGTATAGGTCCTCGATGGAAAATTTCTGTAGGAACTAAAATTTTTCAAAATTCTATGTTTTTCCTCTATTCCAAAGCATGTCTATAGGTCTGTTTGGAACACAAGATTTTCAAAATGTAGGAATAGGAAAAGTGGTATAGGAGCTATATAATTTTTACAAATCCTACATAAATTCAAAATGCATGAAAGTTACTGAGGAAAAATGGAAAAATTCAAAAGGAGAGATGGACACAAAGGAAGTTTCCCTAGGGTCCAACCTCATTTTAGTAATTTTCCTCCAAAACTCCTATGGATTCGTGCATAAGGCATGGTTAATTCCAAATGCACATAGGAGCATTGATATTTTCATAAGTAAGAGAAAGCAAAAGACTTAACATTGTACAATCTCTAATTTAAACAAGGCATAAGACATAAGCTCAATCTTGCATTGCCACATTCTAAAACTCGACATTGAGCCAACCAACAAGAGCGCTCATAACTGAGCATGTGATAATTCAAATTGATTCATAACCCTATAGAGGTGCACAACTTTGGCCACATGCACATGAGGCCAACACCCATACAACTGATAGGTTTGTAAGGGGTGACTCATGCACCAACCTTTCACACATTTGACCAAGGTGCCCAATGAACGATCAAGATGGATAGAGTGCTAGGACTCACCTCATCATTCGCACAGTTGAAAGCCCTAGTTTAGTTTTGGATAATTGATACAACTTAGTGTACTAACCCTTTGCTCTAAGTGATATGAGATAGGTTGGTACACTCCAAGTGGTGGAGCTAGATGATGGCACTCAAGTGCTCCAACTTGGAAAAGAAGAAAGAGAAAAACAAAAATGGGCTCAAGGCAAAGGTTATATGAATAGGGCCATTTTTTGTTTCACCAATCAACACACCAGAGAGGGTGTGATTGAGTTTAGGATAGATAGCCGTACTATGAAGAGGGAAAAATCATGGTTAAAGTGGTCATCAAGTGACACTAGGTCATGGCATTCATGTGTATGCATTAGGACCTAGTGTGAACTAACTTAACCCTTGAAAATGTTTTGAAAAAAATGCTAACACACGTGCACAAGTGGTGGAACACTTTGGGGTTAGCACTTGGAAGCAAGGGTTGAAGAAACAAATTGAAAGGAAGTGTCTTAGGTGCTCCAGACCTAGGGTTTTGGGAGGCCGGACCATGGCTCATGGGTCCGGTACCCAACCCTAGCTGGGTGTTGTTGCGGCGTAGGCTCCGGACCCTGGTGGAACAGGGCGTCCGGACCATGGTCGTATAGGTCTATCAATGTCGGTAGTGATGTGCCGGGAGGCACTATCAATATCGGTTTCTTAGGCAATGATGGGACCGATAGTGAATGTCAGATCTATAACAATGTATATTGAATTAATGTATTTTTTCACTTAGAGAGTTGTATGGTCTTGAACAACTAATTTATACAATTCTTCAAAAACACCTAACTGCATGGCTATATGTTTTTAAAACTGTGATACTCACATTTTTAGCTATAACTGTAATTTTTCTTTGAGAATAGCTATAACCGTAATTTACTCCCCTTCCAGGACCTATAGGCCATTTTAATTTTGTCTTACGGTTAAACATCTCTAAGCTTGGCATCGTTTATAGTATAATAAACCAAGAACACCTACAACATAAAAATAGTTTTATTAAATCCACATAAAATGTCTCATAGTACATTTATTTGTTATTATAGCTATTAATATATTTTATAAATTTAATCAAAGTTAGTAAAATTTGACTTAAGACAACACTAAATGACATACAACTTGAAATTAGAGAGTATAAGACTGTTGAAAGCATCTAGGTCTCTAGTTGGTTTTTAGTGATTAATGACTACACAAGATTACTGTGACTAAAGTGTGTTTTGTAGAGGCAATTAAAGTTAGGTCATGGTAATGGTGATTGATTGGGCAATTATGGTTTTCATGCCCCTGTCGATGGAAATCGTTTTGGTTTTCAGAGGATGGATGATAAGGTTAAGGACGGACTAGCTCTAAGTGTCGATTGGCGTTGAGAGACACTTAGATTAGTTTTAGGACTTTATTTTTCCTTTGGCCATACTATAAAGGGGGCATGGATGGGTAGCTTGACCTAGGCGTGTCTAGTGAGAAGAATGTGGTGCACATTTGTTAAATCTAGCGCTAGGTAGCTCAGAGGAAGCCTAAGATCATCAAAAGTTGGAAACCGATTTGAAACGGCGATCGAATCAGAGGTATGCAGCTCTAGTGGGAGTAGATAGGGTGGTGTGCACCGCCTTGGTCACCGCCCCTTTTATCTAGAGGTTGGGGTGCTCAGGCTGGCATCGGACAGGGCACCGCCATAGGGGTGGCGGTGCCACCGTCATAATATCCCAGAGAGCATCCCTAGAGGTGAGAGGGCACCGGACAGGGCACCGCCCCTAGGGTGGCAGTGCCACCGCCATTTTTATCCAAAGAGGGGTGTTTCAGGGGCTTGGTCACCGCCCCTGGGGTGGCACTGGACAGGGGGTGGCGATGCACCACCTTGCTGTCCGGTGACCCTGACTTTGTTGAGTTGGAGGGTAACGCTAGTTCCCTGGCTTGGGGCTATTAATACCCCTCCATCTAGTGCATTGAGACTCTCTTGCCCATTTGTTCAGCTGAGGAAACCATTTGGTGTGCAAGGGAGAGCAAAAGCCTAGTGGGGTTGTTGAGATTTGCTAATCCAAGATTAAGGACCTTATTAGTGCATAGAGAGTAGCAAGTGTGCATCAACTCTTCTCATTAGGCTTGGTTGGGTCAAGTGAGAGTTCGTGCTTGTTACTCTTGGTGATCGCCATCACCTAGATGGCTCAGTGGTGATTGGAAGCTTGGTGATCATCCGGTGGTGCTTGTGGATGACACAAGTCATGATGTGAGCGGTTGTGGGTGATTGACCGCGATGGAGTGTGGAAGAATCAGCCCATAGAGAGCACTTGATCATTGCGCGGATTAAGGGATAGCTACACCCTTGCGCGGGTGCTCCAACGAGGACTAGTGGGGAGTGGCGACTCTTCGATATCTCGGAAAAACATCGCCGCATTCCTCTCCCTCTGTTTACTTTGAGCATTTACATTTGAGTAATTCAATTCATGTCTTTACATTCTTAGAATTGTCATGCTAGAGTAGGATTAGAACCTAGGGTGCAAAACTTTTATGCGGTAGATCAATAACGAACACATTTAGGCACAAAGGGGATGAAATGGGCTAAGTGTAGGATTTAATTATTGCAAGAAATTTAGAATTAGCCCAATTCACCCCCTCTTGGGCATCTTGATCATTTCAATTGGTATCGGAGCCTCGTGCTCCTTAAATTAGGCTTAACCACTATTGACACTTGATATGGTAAACAGATAAATCTGCAAGTGCACGGATGTCAATGTAGCTTTCGCCCGGGAGTATTCCAAGGTATCGTATTTCCACGGAGAACGCGAAGTGGACTAATTAAGAACTAATAATGTCCAAGGGTAAAAGTAATAGGTAGAGAGGATATATGTGGTTTCTCTGAACTAAGGCAAGACTAAGGAATACTATATCACAGTTGTCTACTTCAGGGCGTACCTACCATAACCTCACCGAGAGGGTTGATTAGGCACAACAACACCATGAGCCCTATGATTTAATAACTAGACCTATCGTGTGGAATACAAAGGATGGACAGGGCTATCACCACCTGCCACCTACCACAATCTATCCGGAGGCCTAGCCATAAACACAGGCAAGCTATAGCCTAAGCACCACACTTAATCTATAGACTCATTACTCTAATCCTATACACGATGAAATGATACTAGAGTACTCTAACCAAGCGGTGAAACCAGTAAACACAATAATATAAATAATACTTAAGTAATGCAAAAGAGCAGAGTTACCACACGAGAAGATGCTAGACTTCACTCGAAGAAGAGCTTCATCCACCAAAGCATGAGTGGAGAGGATGCCGACAGTCCTGTCTCCTCCCCAAGCTTCTCCTCACTCTCTCCCTATCTTCTACTTATAAGTAGTAGAACTACAGAGCTTTTCCTAACTACTACTCTCACTTAGAGTGATGGAATGAGATGGTGATGATTACAAATGGCACCTCACACCACTATTTATAGTTCTCCAAGGTCGGTTGCTGTAGGGGGGTACTTATAGACATCAAGTAAGATGGTGGAGGTAACTTGGGCACCGGGTGGCATGGTAGGGCGCTGGCCGACATTGGATTGCACTGCCTTTCGATCGTACAGCATTGGTTGGCTCCCAAAGGCGGTTGT